CACCACATACCAACCTCCTCAGGAAAAGCAAAGCACATGTCAGTGGGGAGCTAATCACTAATGAAAGAGCACGTCTAATAGTCCCTCGTGCACTATGACCTAGACTCATTGCTAGCACTTTTAACATTTTTTAAGCTCAGTCAACAGTTAATCAGACATTTATAGCTGAATTGGTAAAATACCGATTGCTTATTATACTGTCCATTCATATATGTGCTTTATATTTTTTTCCAGAAGACAAATACTTCTGGTAATGAAAATTAGCGCACAATATTTTCTCTTGGTGTAAAAGATGACCCCTTTTCCAAAATATTTTTTTGGTGTAAATTTGTCTTCATTCTGCTTAGAGTTGGGCTTAGTGCTAATACAGTATGAATATTTCATCAGTTTGCCACATGGGTGGAAAATATCATTCTTTCCCATCTTACACACAGGTGTTTGTGATATTCCCCTGAGCCATGATTTGTCTGATGTAACCATAGTGCTGAATATATTAGTTTCAGGTGGTATAAAAATAACATTTTTAAAAGTTGATGCTAAGAATCTTGATCAATGAGAGCAAATGAAGCATCTTGTCATAATCAGCATTGACCCTAATATTCTAGTTATTTTTACTTAAAAATTTTATTCCTCCGATGATAGTTAAAAAAGGACTTCCTGATTTTCTGGTCAACTGGTTTTTAGATGCTGTGATCGGTTCCACAGAGATGCATTTTGGCAGATGAACTGAGCAGAGCTGGAATGACATGAGAACGCTCTGGAAGAACTGAATACTTAAAAATCTTAACCTGTGTTTTTTGGGCTGCCGGTGTTGAAAAGCTCTCGCATGTGAAATAAAAATATGTGAGACATGGTGCCCCCTGCACTTCATCCCATTTCAAAAACAGGACAAAGGACCTAAGAGATACCCTACTGAGCATTCACGGTCTTCCCAGACAAGGCATTTATCAGATGCAGAAGGGATCAAGAATTGTGTATTATTTTCAGTATGAAAATACTCAATATCATTAAATAACATTTCGCTTTTATAACTTGGCTATCATTCTAACCATTAGTCATTATTGCAACATCACCATCCCTGCTTTTTTACAGTCTACTATATAAAGCAAGATCTTGTCTAAATTTGTAAAAATTGTTTTTGTATTTTGTATATTGGCTGACAGAAATTTGCAGTTTGAGATTCGGGCTTCACTGTGGAGAGTGGGACCTCCCTGGACTCAGGGTTTTTCACGGCGTTCAGTGCCTGTTTGCTACGACCCTTCATTTCTGCAGGCTGCTGCTGCTCCCAAGCCCTGGCCTGCCTGTAAATGCTGTCTCAGCCCAGGGAAATTTTGAACTTGTGTCCCTTGCAGATGGCAGTCTCTTCCTCCGGTATACATGGAAACACAGATAAGTACTATCTGTGTGAGCTGTAATAATTAATTTTGGGCCCGTCAGGAAGTGGCTATCGGTATTCCTTCAGCAGTTGCGAGTGGTCCTGAGAGAACCCCGGCGATGCTATCGCCGGGTATTGTAGAGGTGTCTGTCCAAACTATAACATACAGGGAGAGAACTGCTGTTTCTAAACTAATGTTACTAATTAGAAGGTACTCGTAAGAAACTAGACAAAAGGAGACCTCAAACCCAGATAAAAATGAGACAGGCCAGGAGTACTGCCATTTAAACCTTTTATTCAGTGTCTAATTCTGCAATGCTTACTCATAGTGAGTAGTGCTTAGTTACCCACGCATGCTGGTAAATACTTGTTGAATAAATACCAACCAGAGATATCAGAAAGGGTTGCTACATTAAGTCTGCCTTTAATATATTTTTCATTTGAAGGTTATTGACATATCTGTTTCATGTCAGCTTCAAAATGTTCAGTTATAACCTTAGAAACTTGCAGCAGACTCTTTGCCCTAGAAAAAATCCTCCCCTGTTCAGTGCATTTGCATATGTTAATCTCTGCCAAGTTCTCTCTGAAATGAAAGGCTTTACATGGACATTAAAAAAAAACCCAAAAAACAAAGCTAACAAATCCCAAACCTCAAGTCAGATCTCTGTATATATCTCACAGTTTAGAGCTGAGCAGTGGAGCTGCTAAAGAGCCTGTATCCTGTTTCTCTTCAGTAGCAGCCCATTCATCTTCAGGTACAGAGCAGCCAGTTTACATGCTTCTGCCTCTTTTCTGCTTTACTTTTTTACATACGTACGATGGCAAACCCATCTAAGCTAAATACGCACTCGAGCCAAGTAAACCTCACAGTTAGCAGACAATTTTCCTTTTGTCAGCCAGGAGAAAGTTCATTTTCACTGAAGATAAAGTGTTCTTCTAGCCTGTATGTTTTATTTTTGGTGGTTCTTAAGGCAACATAGATTTGTACATTTAAAAAAATATATGCTGATGAAAATAAGGATGGTTTACATTTTTGAAAGGGTGAAAGGGAAGTGCAGTGTAAGGGATTAGCTACGTGGCCACAGGTGACTTAAATAGTAACTACTGCTCTGAAAAGAATGTAAATACTTTTCCCTCAATAGACCTCACTTTAATATGTCTATAACTGTACCCTTACATGGCAAGCCCAAAATGTGTGGTGTTTTTTTTCTTTTCGTGCATTTCTATTTTGTAAGACCACATATACATGATAATAATATGCATATGCAGGTTTATATATAAATATATATATTTATACACATAGAAACACATACACATTGTGTATGTAGACAAAATTGCTTGGGTGTACACATATACATGAGTATATAAGTGTAAATATACATATATATTGTAATAACATACACATTTATTATTTATACATATAATGGTAATCTAAATATGCGCTTTTTCAGAACTGACATTGTTCCTCCTTCAGATGTGAGGACTGTCAATACTAAAGGGCAGTAAAAGGGCAGGGATTATAGGAGGGAGCATTTAGAGGGGCTGGGTGCAGTCATAAATGTTTAGCTGGTTATCCAAACCAAATCCCAGCTCTGAGTGTTTTACATCAGTAAAACAAAGCGCCTACCTCACGAGGCAGGTAGAACCTCTCCAGAAGTGAGTTCTCTCTTTTCATGGAACACAGCTTCTTCACAGGTCAGTGATATGTTGCACTCTGTGGCAGTGGAAACCATGGGTCGTTTTTCTTTCCACATCCGTAATATGTGAAGTATCAATCCCGTAAGATGGTCATCGGCCAGTACTGTGGCCTGTAGGTTTCCCTGCCACATCAAAACACATATTCCGTTGCCAAAGTCGCTCCTAAGTCGGGGTCAGAACTGCAGCAGACAGTGGAATTTTAGCCCCAAACCAATTCTAAACTCAAATAAACTAAAATCCTCTGTTTATTCCCCCTTAAAGTTCTGTGCAATCCGGAATTACGCAATGGTGAGGTTAACTTTCTTATTTTAAATTGTGTCAGTGCCAGAAGCAGTGGGAGCTGCACCTGCCCACCCACGGGAGGTTTGAGGGGACTTCTCACGCCAGGAGCGGTGCTCCATTTGCTGCTGGGGTGCCAGATCCACTCAGCCCTGATTCATGGCTCCTTCTGACCACGGGCAAGATGACATTATGCCATTAGAGTACAACATGTGTTAATTTATATGATGTAACTGCTTCTTAAATATATAGTAGTCACAGCGCACTTTAGCACCACTTCAGAATTTATTACATTAAGTGGAAATGAGCAGCATTCCTCTCATCTGCTGGGTTATTAGCAGCAATTAGTTTTTTCCAAAAAGTCATCTATGGCTCTGACATTACTGCTGCTGCACTTATGACTAAAGTGAAGTCCTAAATCCTTTCGCAGCTTTTAGTTTGTCCATTTTTCTAGTTACTTTACAGCATGCCTTCCTTCAGCTCTTTTTGATATTCTTTCCACTCCAGCTTCTGGAATTTGTATAAAAGCCACCGTGGTTTTTTTTTTCTTTTGAACTGAAGACACTGGGCTGGTGGAATTTCTTTTAACTGGGAAGTATGTCTGGGCTTGTGGTTTTATTATTTGCACAGTTTTATATTGTCCTGTTTGTTTACTCCCAAGCACAAGGAACGCTCCATTAATCATGGAAATGGGCATTGGTTTCACCTCTTTAATTTACATTCAACTCTTTTTCTCACAGTCGAAAGGGACAAGGACTTCTCCCACCAGCGAAGGCACTACAAAGAGTTTCGCTTTGACCTTACTCAGATCCCGCACGGAGAGGCAGTGACAGCAGCCGAATTCCGGATATACAAAGATCGAAGCAACAGCCGCTTTGAGAACGAAACCATACAGATTAGCATATATCAGATCATCAAGGAGTATCCAAACAGGTACCCTGTTGGCACGAACATATCACATGTCGAACTAACGTCTCATGCTTCTGTCTTAAGTAGGGAGACAATAGCTGATCATAAGTGTACCCTCGGCGAGGCATCGTTGCTATCACTGTGGCTTGTGCAATATCAATTCCTAGGCAACGACAACAAATACTGAGCAAGAATAAGACTTATCTTCAATGCAATTTATTCCAGGTTTATGGAGAGTTACATGTCCAATCTCACAGAGATGTCCAATGAGTTTACGGAGAGTTACATGTCCAGGCATGCACAGAGTGGGTGAGGGTCCGTGTTCTCAGTGAGCAAATGGTGGAGTCGTACACACAGTCTAAGCATTTGGATTTGGGAAATGCACCATTTGCTGACACTGAGGTACTTTATACCAGCCAAGATTCATTTAGCTCCTTAAAGGCAGATAGATTGTTCAACTGTGTTTACTTTCAAAGGAGCATGGCTTTTTTTGCATGTGTTTTAATGTTCTGCAGAATGTAATTAAAGGATAAAGTCAAGCATTAACTTTAAGATGACATATACACACTTAACACGTGCTGCTCACCATAACTGAAAATTAAAACAAATATGGTGTTACACTTAAGCAAATCTCTGAATCTAGGTTTGTAGAGCTCTGCATGTGACGTATTTCCAAGACTCTGCAAGACCTGAGTAAATGACCAGATTTCACCAGGCAAAGTAATTAAATACTTGAAAATTCCCATGAAAAACTAGTAGGAATTCCAAGCTGAAAAAAGCTACATAGACCCAAAATTTGGGTTTAGAAATTAAATTAGTTTGACTTTTCTCAGAAAAGTGGGGAAAAATAGTTTTGTTTTGAGATAAACAAAAACTCTTGCTCCTCTTGGAACAGATAAACCATTTCTATCCTGGGCATGTTTAATACAAACGAAGAAAATGACAGCCTAAACTTGCAGAGTATTCTGGAGGAAAAAAATGCCCCATCACCAGTTAGCTCAAAGGCTGGGCTACAGTTCAAATCTCTTTTCTGCCCACAGAAGCTTGAGCTTGTACCTTCCAGGTGAGATCTCTGAACATCAAGTTATAAAATCTTTATGACTATAAACAGGGAGTTATTTTATATCAAATGGAGCAGAACCAACAGGAGGGAAAGCACTCATCCTTCCAGAATACTTTCTGCTTTCTTAGTAAATTTGGGCAAGAACAAAACAGTGCAGGATTTTTTTTTTATCTCTGTCTTCAGCTTGCAAAAATTCATTCTTTTGACGTTCTAAAAGAAACTTCTTGGAAGAAGGAATGAAATGGGAAGGAATAAAACATACCTTTTTAAAGAGCACAGGTCAAGGCCAGGGTGATGAAAGCTCTTCACCTGCAAACTCAACAGATTTTATTTTAAGAACTAATGGGAAAAGTTAGTTTTTCTAATCCATTTGATGTTTTCTTCCCCCCCGCCCCCCATATTTTCCCAGTACGTTGTTTCTCTTCTATTCGAGAGAAAGCAAAATCACACTTTGATATTAACAGACTTGTTAAAATTACAACTGTCTCTGTGAAACCATTGAAGAATGCTCTTCAATATTAACAGACTTGTTAAAATTACAGCTGTCTCTGTGAAACCATTGAAGAATGCTCTTGATTTCTTTCAATACATAAACATCAATTTATAAATGTTCCATATTTGCATTTATAAACATAAAAGCCCAATGTCCTCTGATGGAAACATGATGCTGGAAAGTGGGACATGCAACGATATACCACACATTTGATTTCACCAGTGTAACTACAGAAACTTCAGATGTAGATTGTTTCCATCCTGTTGTTGATTTTGCCAGTCTCTACTCATATATAGAGTATACAGAGGCAAATGCCTCAGTGAGACAGGATGGGAGAAGACAACAAGCTAGCTCTCCACTGTTCAAATTAGAAACAAGGAACTTTTTCCACCTTCCCACCTGCTTCTTGATAAGTTCAGGCAGAAGAGTTCATGAGATTTTTTTTTTTCCCTCAATAAAGCCACAGTTTTATTTTGGGGTCTAGACATCATTAGTGTTATTCTTGACTTTATCACCTCAGGTTTGTCCTACATACGTACATGAGATTTTAGGTGCAAAATTTTCAGAAGCTGCAACTGTAAGGGTGGTGAGACACCGGAACAGGTTACCCAGAAAAGCTGTGGATGCCTGGAAGTGTTCAAGGCGAGGTTGGATGAGGCTTTGGGCAACCTGGTCTAGTGGAGGGTGTCCCTGCCCATGGCAGGGGGGTTGGAACTAGATGGTCTTCAGGGTTCCTTCCAACCCAAACCATTCTATGATCATATGTCCCACAGTCCTTACTAGTTCCATACCACAGCAAAACTGCTGCGTTTGACCCTGTTCCTCCACTTCTTTGCTTTGAACAGGAAATGTGTGTGTCTGACAGGGCTCTGCAATCCCAAACGCAGTCCTGCTATGCTTTCAGGCAAGGAGTGGTCAGGGTTTATGGTTTCTGAGTTGCAATTTAGGATTATATTGTAGTCTTGGACATTTTTCTGTCTCTGTGGCAGCATGGCCGCTGAAGTATGTGTATTGAATTTGCTCGGAGTTTGCTGAAATGACAGTCTTTGGGATTGAAATTTTCTATTTGTTCTAAGTAAGCGTGTAAAGCACAGCCCATGGCAAGGCAAACTTTCCTACGCAGGCCTGCCAATGTTCTCCTACCCGGATCTTTTCTCATGACGAAAGTAATGTAGTCCAACAGGCCAAATCCTTGTTCATGATCTGGTGGCAGCTAGCCACTAATTTAACTAAACCCAAAGGATTCTTCCTGCATTAGGGAATCCTCAAGTGGCATTAAGATACTAAAGCAGCTTTCTGGAATGAGGCGAGAGGTGAAACAGCATTATGGGGATGGCCTATTACATGGTAATCGTGATTTGATCTGGTCAAAAACTTTGCTGGGTTTCAAGGAACATATAGATGGTTTATTCCACCTTTACTTCCTTAAGCGACCCAGGAGATCTGGAGCTTCTTAGACATTCTGCCCGCAGCCTCTTTGCTGAAATTCTTGACTGTGGTAGCATTTCTGCTGTAGACAACTGGCCGTTTGGGACCAGACTGAGATCACTAAACTTAAACAGCCTCCATAAAGGTAAAGCCAATCAGCTGTATTCTGCCTGAATGTGTTCACTGTTGCATTTCAGGCTATTTACGACATAATGCCTTACTTTTTTATTATGTGTTGTGGGCTATTTTTTAAAGAGAAATATTTTTTAAAATTAGAGCCAAAATTTGCAGCTGTTTTTCATTTTAAGTGTGATCGGTTTTCTTCTTTTCACAGAATAAAGGAGAATTTTAAAATTAAAAATGTCATAAAATGTGATGAGAGGCTTGAGTGAATGACACCAGCTAATGGGGGAATCCTGATCCCGAAGCTCTCACTGCCTTCTCAGGGGTCAGGTTTTCACCCTATGTTTATATCAATTGTGAAAAAAGTTGGATTTTTTTCCCAAATACTTTGAATTTCTGTAGTAAATTGCTATTATGTGGGCTAAATCATTAGCATTGGTTCATAGACATTTTCTCTATTCTACCGTGTGTTCTCAAGAATCAGTTTTAGTTTTCTCTAGGTACCCACAACTAATTTTTGGTTCATTTGCTGAGTTAATGGGTAAGAACAATCTGCTTCTTTGAGTCTATTACCTTAGCCAGATCACTATGCTCGTAGGAAGTGGTGAGAAGACAGCTCGCAGGTGAGAAGACTGAGGTATCAATGCCAAAGACGCTTTGGTGTGAGTTTCTGCTGCAGTACAAAATAATAAAGCCACACTGGGGGGAGATGTACAGGGGAAATTTGTCCTTTATAGGGATTTCTGGACTGTACCATTTGTAGCATCCTATTCTGATTTGGCATATGAGATATTGTACATCCTCACTTTTGAAAACGTTTCATATCAGTCCCAGTAAAGTTTGGAGCTGAAAGAATCCATTTGGGAAAACAATTATGTATTCTAGGAGGAGACATGACAAATGTGAAATTATAGCATTGTGATATTGTAATATTTTGTATTCTAAACAATTTTAGTTTCTTATTAAATCTACTGAATGATACAAGAAATATTTATAAATAAACATCTTAGAGACTGTCACATTCAGAATTAAACCTTTCATCTTCTGATAAAACTGCTTATTAGAGAAAAAAGTTGGCATTTAAGACTCCAGAGAGTACTATTTATGAGCTTGTGGTACGTTGTTAATTTGTTCAGTGCTAGCATAGCAGGTCAGGCTCTTTTGAATTGCAAGACTGTTTTCCTGTTAGCTCCAGAGGGAGAAGGTATGTTTTCTCCTTGTGTGGTCATTAGCACAGTTCTACTAGCATGGAAGTGATAAGAGCCCAGCAAAAGATTACCCTTTAAGAGAAGAAAAAAAAAAAGGCGACTTGAAAGAATGTCCTTGCAATTTTCTTTTTTTTTTAAGGAAAAAACCCTCCTTTATCATTTCCGAGTTCTTTAACCTGATTCTGCAGATATTTCTCACATGTAAGTAAACATATGCTTGTCATAGCTCATTTGGTCTTATTTTCCTGAGTGCTGAACAACCACAGTTTCAAGAGCCACACGAGATGTTTTTATCAGTATCAGACCTTCTAGGTGCATTTACAGTGTTTAGTCTAGATAAGGCAGTAATTTCTTACAATGTCATTGTGATTAAGCAACATAAGAATACAGTGACAGGATCATGGTAATTTTAAATCCACTTTTTATACACAAAGCCTATTATTTCTGCCTCTTTTACCTCTTTAAGCATGTATTCATGCTGTCTGTAAGGTAACAACATGATTCCAAGGTCTGTGTAAGCCAAGTCTTTCTTTAGTTGACTCGGACAGTCAAAATTTAGAATAAAATGTTTTTTTCCTGTATATTATTGTTTTGATTACTACTTATGGCAGAAAAGAAATAGGTTTCTATAACTATAGATTTAGGTTTAAAAGGCTAAATGGTGAAAACAGTTTTTAATAATGCATATTGCACTGTAGAAGCATGTAAAATGAAAACGGTGAGAGTTAAATATCTTGGGTTTAGTGTGGTCATTGTAGTAAATTATTTGTAATACAGATGTCGTTCTGGAACCAATTGTGTCAGGAGATATGTGAAAACAGAACAAATAAACGATCCATGGTAAACATGATTATACTAAGTCCCTTGAGCAGCCCTTCTGAATTACTGGAAGATTTCATGGGAACAAATTTGAGAATATACCAGGGAACTGAGGGTTAAAATGTAATAATTACATTATTGAATAGATATATAATTTCTGCTTTGATATGGAGTCTTATTTTCTAAACATCTGTACTAATATGATACTGTCTGAACTGTCATCTATTCATGTTTTGCCATATGATACAGCTGCTGTCATATGTTATTAATAACAGATTTTTTTTTAGCAACGCTGTGCCTTTGAATTTTAGTTGAAATCAGAATGTGATTTTGACATTTTTTGTCTTTTACACTGAATGGTTTATAAAAGTTAATCTTCCTGAGACATTCTAGTGCTGAAAGATGAATGCTTTACACACAGCCTCAATTATATATTCTGTGTATTTATATCAGGAAGCTGGATTTTTCAGATTTTCCAGAGCTGTAGTTTTCACATGCTGAGACTCATTGCAGAAAGGCCTCTCAGGGGAAATACCTGTATTATACTTAACAACTACATGTTAGCTACAGCACATGCCGTACTGTGACATGATGAAGATACGTGAAAGGATTATTCATTTGGACTCCAGGAAGTTATTGTCAGCAAGGAAATTAAGGACAAAAAATAGTAATATTTGAATGCCTTAACTCTCTATTTTCTTTAACTTAGGGATGCAGACTTGTTCCTGTTGGACACCAGAAAGGCTCAAGCTTCTGATGTGGGCTGGTTTGTGTTTGACATTACTGTGACCAGCAATCACTGGGTGATTAATCCACAGAACAATCTGGGCTTGCAACTCTGTGCTGAAACCGGGGACGGTAAGATCGTAATTGTAGATCATAATGTCGTACATGCTCTTGTCAACTCTTGCTGCGAACCTTTTCTGGATGGGTGTTTTTTAATTTGACTGGTTGATAATTCACTGAAAGTTTATAAGCAAAGAACACAAGTCTTATCCTGCCATAGCTGACATCTGCAAGCTTTCTATTATTCTTAATTCTGTAGAACATGGCAATTATAAAGCTAACTGAATCAAGTTAAATTAGATGATGTTTGGGATAAAAGCTCCTACGTAAAAAAATGAAGTTCCAATTTAATATTCTTCCCTGGGAATTTTTGTTTTAGAAAGTTTCTAAAGATCTTTCTGGGCTGAAGCCCGGAGAAAGGTATAAAAAAAAACCCCTTATGACAGTTCAGGAGGTATCTCACAGCCACTGGTACTGATGTTGGAGAAAGATTAACAATAGGGTAATGTGGGAATTGGTTTTCTAAAATTAAAAAAAATATCAATTTTTTTTAATCTTGAAATGGGTTAAAAATTCAAAATCTTGAAAAGCTTAGTTAGCTGAAAATTAGAAGGAACACTATCAAAACCGAAGTAAATTTTTTGGAACAAATTTACTAGGCTACTACATTATTCACAGTTATGCTCTTCATTAAAAAGTGAAAATGCATCTCAATGCAAAATAATATTTTTAGAAGAAATGTTCTTTACTTAGACTTCTTTAGAAACTAATAAAAAGAGGCTTATATACTGGTTTTTTCTGTGATGGTTCGCTTAATCCATACTACTTTACAAGCAAACTTTCAGATTTAGCTCTTTCTTGTCAAAAAGCTTTTTATGTCAGAGGTCAAGGGATCTATGATGCCAGTTAATCTAAACCTTAGCTGACATAATGTTAATGAGTAGCAGAAGAAACCCTGGTGTAAGGATTAATGTTTTTTTCTTCTTTCTTTGTTCTGGCTACATTTTCTCATTGTTTTTGATCTGAATTCTCCCTCAGGCTCAGCTGGGCTGCGAACAAAGCCTCTCATACTTTTTCGGCAAGTGCTCCGGCTGCCGGAGAGTTATGCAAAAACTGTCCGCCATTAGGCACGATCCTTGAAAAGGGAGTTGGCAGGCTTGAACTGGAGCGGACGACCATTTCACCTAATATCGCCTATATGGTCTGAGTACAGTCAGCGGAAAAAGGAGGCAGCAACACAAAGTAGACCCCGTTGTCGCTGGGTTCAACCAGCCCTCGGAGGCACGGCACACGAGCCCGAACTGTGCGGGGAGAGGCACTGTTAGGCAGCCTGGGTTTGTGAAGCCATTTTTAAGCCCTTAAAATGCTGGAGAGGTGACACCTCTTTTAGGCATCCAAATTAGGTGGACTGGCTTCTGGCCAGCTTTCCTGCTCCAGAATAAACTCCATCCTTGAGGTTTTTTTCCAGGAGATTCAAATACAGAAATTCTTGAAAATTAAATATCCATGAAAGGCATTCATTAAGAAACCCTGGAACCATCAACTTGTTGGTTCTAGCCTCAAAATTATATCCGTTCAGTAAACAACGGGAAAGTTTGTATGGGTAAAAGGAAACCTTTAGGTTAATACACTGAAGAAATTGTAAATGAATGGTTTATGTAAATATTTCCCCTGTCCTACTCCCAAGATCAGAAAGGTGATAGATAATTTTCTATTTTATATTGCAAAGCCACAGGCAGTTTTACCTCCTGCACCTCACTTATTTGAATTTCTCAACACAGCTGCTTGAGTGAGGAGGGGATTCCCCTCTTCCCTCACTTTCTGTTCCCTTTTCAGTTTATTCATGCAAGAGGAGTGCCCTTCTAGGGACTAAAGTTTTCAAAAACTATAGGGAAGACCTGTGCTATACCACTTCAGCTTAGCATAAGGAAAATCGTCCCTTCATGCTCTTACAATTTTGCCCTTAAGGCTTTGATTATTTTCACTGGGTTGCTGTTACTTCTGGAAGCTATTAGAAACACCAGCAGTTGAATGACATGTTTGTGTACAGATGGAACACGAATTTTTATACATGACTCAGTACCGAGTGGACTCTGTAACCCAGAGAACCCCACCCACCTTCCCTCCAACCAGTTTTCTACGAAAACTCAGAGACTGGTTCAGATCGACTCAAGAGCCTTCCCTTGGCTCCAGTGAACTTTAGGCCGTGCAGGTCTGAAGCACGTTTCTTCGTGCATCCAGCTGTCCGTTGAGTGTATGGGAGGTAGAGGAGTCCTGACCCCATAACTGGAGAGACATTTATGATAAGACCTGATCCATTAACCTTTCTATTGCAACAGACCATTAAACTAAATGGGATTCTGTTAAGCCAGAGGATCCCTGTTTGAGGTATTCAGGTGCTGCACTGGGGCCCTGGATAATCAAGTCTGTAAATCCATACTAATTTTTAGATTTATTCATACAGCACCTTTAAAATGGGGTGCCAATAATTACTGAGACTCCGAGGTGCTGCTATATTGTTATCATTACCATTAACAGTAATCTTACAGTTATCTTTCAGTAACTTTTTAGGCAATTACTTCTGTAGATATATTTCTTTGGTGATCCCTGAAGATGGTGCATAAATAATGTCTACATGAGGAATAAAAAAAAATTGTAGCTATTTAATATAACAGTGTGATAAAAACAACTTTGGAAGAATGTCTGGTTGTTGTAATTCATATTTTTGCCCCTTTGAAAATGCTGGAAAAGTACAAAAAGCCACATGACATTGGAATGTGTTTTCTTTTTTCTTTAAGACAGTATTTGGTATCATACGCCTCATTTTAGCATTAAATGTAGACTTTTTCTCTTAATGGGACGTTTTATTTTGAACAGTAAGAATAAAGGTTTGCATGACACATATGGAAGCTGTCAACATATAATGCACTGTTTCCCTCGGGCTGTGGTAAATTAAGGATCAGGGGGTTTTTATTCTCTTTTTTAATGTCTCCTCAACGTTCTGCAGCATCCCCTTTTGGCCGATTCCCTCCTTTTGACACCAAAACTCTCCATGGTGTTTAAAATGAGAGGTGATCATTTTCACACTGATGGAAGTGCGGGTGTTAGATGAATTGCAGCATAAAATCAATGCAGATGCAGAAACAATTCGAAAAGCTCCATGTGACGCTTTTCCTGTATATATACCATATGACTCCTAAGACTTAAAACATGTTCCAGTGAATCAGCACCTTTATATTAACATTTAACATTTTTATAATTGGAAGTTAGCAGCGGTTTGAACATCACTTTTACTGGGGGAGTATAAATAGCTGCAATAATATTCCTTTTGCTGTTTGTATCATTACTGAAGAGAACCTAGCATTGTCTACAGAAAATGGGAGAGGGAGATATAACATGTAATGATGATTGTTGACGATGCACAGAGTAAAACAGGTTCCAAATACACAGTGCTCAATACAACATCCTGGGTAGCCCCCACAGCCACGTAGTTCTGTGCCTTTTCTTAGGCTACTACAGCTCTCAGTTATTTTCCATCCGCCTGCACATCAGAGGGGAAGAAACTGGTGGTAACTTTGAAAAGCCCAAGCTGATTAAGGTGATTTCTGTTACTGCATAGTCCTATGCAAGGTTTCTTTGGGCTTTCTTGCTGTTTCAGGTGGGCAGGCAGCAAGAATCCTCAGCTCCCCAACTCTGACTCTTACTTCAGGTATTTTTTTTTCCTCAGAGCAAAGGGAAACTTGAAAGAAATAGGTTCCTTGATCCAAGTGAAGCCTAGGGAAGGCCAGTTCTCTCTCCAGCATGTATTTGGGTATACTCCGACATGTGTCCCCTGGAAAGGGGTTTGGCTCCTACTCCTACATGCTGCAGAAAGGTTTGGTGAAGTCCTTCTCCGGCGATGATGAGGGAGGCATTAGGAGACACACTGTCTCTTTTTTCACCTCTCCTTCTTTCAGCCTGGGCCTTTCAAGGTCCCTTTCTCCTAGGAAGCCTTCAGAGAGGCAGCATGGCCACATTCTCTATATCTCAGAGGGTGGCTAGCTTGCTTTCAACCCATAGCAACCTGCGGCAGCACTCTGGCTTCTTCAGGTAGTCAGCTGAATACTTTACATTAGCCTTCGCCTCACCTTTACAACACTAAATGTTATCGATCTCGTCCCAAGGTTGCCCGCAGTCAACCTTGGCACCTAATTTACATGACAACAGTAGCCATCAGGTACTCTGGAGGATGCTGCTGGGTTGTTACATTTAAGTCTCTTGGTGGATCTGGTATTTACAAGGCAAAGTATCAGGAGCGAGTTCACATTCATTAGTGTCCTTACAGTGGGGGAATTTATGATATATATATTTATATTGATATATATATGGACTTTGGCAGGCAATAGCCCTGCCTAAATTCTGAGCCATCTGGAAGCCATATAGCCATGTTAGCACAGCACTGAACCCGAGCTAATATATCCTGCCCCTCAGCAGGTTTTATTAGCTTGGGCTCAAGCACTGCCTAAGTGCAGCTACATGAGTTCTGGTTCAGAGCTGACTTTGGCCAAAGTTACACTAGTAAACGAAACATGCTCAGGAATACTGTGGTGTGAAACGAGCCGGAGGGATGACTCTCTCCGTCTCCAAAACAGGGTGACCCCATGGCAGCTGCCTCCTGGGAGAGGTCCCTGAGGCACCGCCTTGGGGTGCTGCGGACCCTGTGGTGGGGCTGGCACAGGAGGTGAGTGCACCAGGAGCACCCTCCCACCCTGAGCAGAGCGGATGATCCGGCTCCAGCACCTGGGAGCGCTCCTGGGCACTCTTTAATTTACTCAGATAGGTGTAACCCCTCTTTCCAGCTGGGTCAGAAATACAGTCAGCATTTTCTTGTGTCTGCTTGTAGCAAGTGATGTGAACACACCCTTTGTTAGTAAGGGCACACTTTAAGCAGGAGGATCAGGAAGGTGAGATGGGCTCCTGCCCCTTCTCCTGCCACTGCTGCATACTGGTGCATACTGGTCCTGGCTGTAAAGCTGGGCTACTCCCACTCCGCTCTGCTCCCCAGGCAGATGAAGGATACATCTGCTTCTCAG